CATCACTACTACTTTAAAATATCACTTTTGGAGTGTAAATTAATAATTTATACTTATTTCTTTAATATTTCTTTAATTATAAACTGAAAAAAGTTAAACAAGATGGAACAACAATTCAATAAATCAGGTTTCGTAGTTGATTACGATCTACCAAGTATAAATAATAGTTCTACTATTAAAATTCTCAATTCGTAAATAAATAAAAATACATGCATGTGATACAGCTAAATAAATGATACTTTGTAACATATTATTATAATAAAAATTAAATAGGTTCCAAAAATATTTAAAAAATTTTAAAATAACACATATTCCCGTAACACTTGTACATTTATGATCTTGAACTTACGTCATGTTTATAAGGTATAAGATTAAGCTAGACACTAACCCTTTTCAATTCCTGTTTCAACAAGGCAATGCTTTATGATCGTCGTGATATTATCTTGTTTTTCTTCTTTGTCAGTATCTATAGAAAAATGAACAGTCATAGACGAATTAGTCGTCTTAACACTAAAGGTCCCCTCACAGTAAATGACTGAGGAGAGCAAAACAACGATGGCGTAGAACTTCATTGTGACTCTGTAATAATGACAACTGCAAAGAGTAAAACTTATCCAAGAAAAATCGCCAATCCTTTTTATACCTGATTTTTTATTTTTTTCTGGGAGGGTGGAAGATTGTATAATTGATAATTAAAAGTCGTTGCGTGGGCGTATTTACTGGGATGAAAAAATGTTAAACAGGTGGGGATCAGCACATTACTAGACCTAGATTCGTGTTTGTATTTTTACCACTTATGTTTTCATACGTGGATAACGTAGGAGTGCGATAAACTTAACGATGTCACCATTTACGAGCCAGAAAAAATGAAGCCGTCCGTGAAATTACTGTGTGTTTACGATTTTTGGGTGCACTAAATAATATACAAATTAATAAGTATTGTAACCCCATGTCACTTCATTTCCTCCAATCCAGTGATTCTGTAAGTAAAGAATACAAAGATACAAAATAAAAAATACAACTTTGAAATTACGTAAGCCAATCTTTTTGTATCTCTCGGAAGAATAACTTTCAAACAAATAACTTTCAACGTTTGAACACGAAATTTCAAAGTTAATAACATCATCAGAGGTAAATACGAAGAACTTCATATAAAATTTGTTATGGATTTATAAGTATTTATTATTTTTTGTGATTGACCAGTGTCGAAAAATCATACAAAAATATAATAAACACGCGAGTTACGCAAGTAAAAGACTTATTTTTCTATTCAAAATTTTAATAATCTTGATTTATCCTTATTTTAACTAACTTGTTTTTGTTATTTTTCAAGGGGCAAAAGAATGTTTTTTTAAATACTTTTATCTAGAGTTATTCGCAAATACACAGTAATTTCACAGTTCGTAAACGCTGTCAACGTTGACCTTATCCTCACTAGCTCGCACGTGTACGTACCCATTATATAACATAAGTACGAGTTTAGGTCTAACAATATGTTGATCCCCACCTGTTTAACATTTTTTCATCCCAGTAAATACACCCACGCAACGACTTTTAATTATTAATTATATTACCTCCCACCCTCCTGGAATTCGCCAAGAAAGAGAAAAAAAAATCAGGTATAAAAAGGATTGGCAATTTAGCTTTACTTTTC